GTTTGTGATTGTTGGATGATTTTGTAAGATTAAGATTATATGTGGTTAATATCATGTTATCTTGAAAGATTTAAACAACAATTTGAAGTTGTAACAAGTATGATVAYATTTKGGTGAGATAAGCTTAATGCATGTGATGATTTATTGATGAAATCATGAAATTATGTTAGGATTAAGTCTTATTATCAATTGGTATGTGAAATCCATTGATGGATTGTAAGATTTCTTGAAAAATGGATGTTTTGATCATGAAACAACATGGTTACAGCACTGTTTTAGAAAACAAATTGTATAAAATCATAGAAAAATCAGAAAAATATGAGGTCAGAGGCATTGGAAAGATGGGATTGTATACTGTGTTTTTTATTCAGACCTCGAATTCTAATTCCAAGCTTAGGAAGGGTAAAAACGGTTATCTTTTCAGTGTTGTAAAGCTGATTTTGACAGCTTGTTGCTGCTGTTTTGTAAAGATTGTAGAAAATTGTAGAAAACTCTAAATGAGGTGAGGCCAATTGGGTTGGCTAGATAATTGAGTCTAGTTGATTTCTTATTTGATAACCAAGATCTGAATATGAGTTTAATTTGGGCAAAATAGACCTGCAAGTAGCAGCTGTCGATGGAAATCAATGTTAAGTGCTTAATAAAGAAATGTGTATAACTCGAGTTTCTTTTATTGGATGCTTATGAGATTTCGTACCTACACTCCAGGGGATAATTTAAKCTTGTTTGAGTCATTTGGAAGGTATCTTATAGTTTGATTGCAAGGTTGGACGTTTGCCGTTCGGTTTGACCGTATTTGACATTCGGTCATGAGGTGAGTTAAATAGCTATTCAAATCTTATTGTATTAAGTTTATATTTACATACCATCTGTATGTATGTGATTTCTTTGACTTTGAAGTAAGTTTTTATTAGTCTTTTGTCTTTGTACTTGTTGATCCTTCGATTACGAATTCTTCCGAAATGTCGGTCGGTTTGGATATCCAAATTGTCTGTTGGTATTGTTCCTTTGATTTCTTGTGAAACCGGAAGTACGGGGATTACTTTGTGTGATCCGTCCCAAAAACGGTGAATGTCAACATGCCGGGTGAAGAGGGAGGAGCCGGTAAGACATTCGAGTTATTCTCGTTCGTTTTTCTGTTGGCCGTACTCAGTGCCTAATGTGGAGAGAGGCACGAGTATAGGGACTCGGGCATACCCGGGAGATGAAGGCGGGCTCCCTGCCAGTCCTAAGTATTATTCTGTGTAACCATAGGAGCTCGAGCATACCCAGTGATGATGGGCTCCCTGCTAGTCCTATGTGTTCCCTTGTTCGGTGATTTTGACATGTCGATTTTGACCGTTTGACTAACATATGATATTGATCAATTG